GTGTTTCCAGAACTGAGAATTGCGAAACACCTACGCATAAAATGTTTAAGAGCGCAGTACGTGTTGTGTTTCATTACTTTGGAATCCAGCTCAATAAGTGCGTGCGACGTGATGAAATATATGTTTATGGCAGACTACTCAAAGGATTGTAATAAAAAGATGAATCACTGATGCCACTGTTTTTTCTTAAAAAAAACTGAACTGAAAACAACCGACAACGCACAATAATCGATATTATTTCAGGACCGTGAGGACGTAAATTAAGATGATAGCAATGGCCACTGACAACGCTCTTCGTATTAATTATTCGCATGCTCATGTTTTGCAAAATGTAACATCCCTTTCAACAAAGGTTTTAGTCCATGTTTTATGCACGGAATTTTTATACGCGAATTAAAGTCGATTTTTGAATTTTATAAGTTATATGCTGGTGACATGTGACACCATGTTGACGCATGGGTCAATATAAGTGTTCACCAAACCAAGCAAACTGTAGACTTTGTCAGGATCCCATATTATTCTCTCAACTCTTCTTTCTCCGACTTGAGTCAAGGTCGGCAAAATGACCCAATTTTCTAAAGAATGACCTAAAATATATCTCAGGATATCCGTTGGAAAAGGGTCTCCTTCTGAATTATAGCAAATTCGTTCGACATGTTTGCCGAATGCCACCTACTCAAATCCCGTATTCGTGGACGTTTTTCCAAATTCACATCATCGTTGTGGGACCTCGTTGTTAGTCCGACTTCATATCCTAAATTACCCATTAATTGTGAAAGCCTGTTCACCAAAATTCTTAATCAGTTTAGCGTGTTCGTCGCTTACGTTAATATCGCAAGGCAGAAACCTGATTTGAAGATTCATAGATTCCTACACACTCCTCCTTATTCAGGATTGTCGTATTTTTATTTTTGCTAATAAGCCTAAAATTGATATTATAACTGCTAAGCGACTCCTTCAATTACTATTCTTTACTACTTGTCTTCTTTATGCATTCAGCTGGCAATTAAAACCATAAAACCTACAAACAAGCAAATTACCAGTCCAGTTATGAATGAGGCAATTAATCCCCCTTTTATATAAATATCCCTTTTTTGCAAAATCTTACCACTCCTCTTGTCATTGCTTCTGACACGTCCGTTGTCATCCGTTATCATGTCGGCATGCCCCCCTTGACACGCTGCTTACGTGTGTTGATACGAAAGTACAGATTATGTGACTTCAATATCGTCCGTATTATGTGTTCAATTTTATGGAAGCCGTGTTATTATTATGCAATTTATCACTTGTCCTCTCTTCATATTGAATGAAATTATGTGGGTTAGATTTTTGAATGTCACTGTAAAACTAATACATATTACTTACACTATCTTTTACCGAAATTGTTACTCCCACTTCCGTTAACTTTATATATGTCTCTTATATCTTCGGTTCCAAAAATGGTCAAAATATTTGGAAACACACGTCTGAACATGTTGATGTAAGAGACAGTATAAGCAGCTCGTCCACGCGGCATAGATATCTGATGTGGACAATTTTATCATACGTGTTATTACCGCAAATGGCTGATTGGTACTCTGAATGACCCAGGAATTTAGGTTACTGCAGTTTATGTCTAGTTTTCTTTTTCATTTTGCTAGTTTCCAACCGTATGTTCATTGAAACAACCGGATACAGTGTGAACAGGCGTGGCATGCAAAGGCATCATTTGCGTATAAATACTATTTGTGCGGTGTTTAAAAACACAACGTCAAAATGCTTAAAACTCTCACGACGAATATGCCGTCGAATATTAACGTCTAGGTAAATACGTGTACGTGAGTATTAAATGAGGAATAGATGCGTAAATAACCTAATTATTCTAGTACATTTAGCAAACTGAAGTAAAAGTGTTTAGCATAATGCATCAGAAAATATGGACAATTTTTTAAGATATACGGGTTGATTAATTGAAGCCGAAGACAGGCTCTCCGGAAGAGGTTTATTTTAGTGCTGACGTTTCAAAGAGCTGGGTCGGCTCTTTATTGTCAAAGCGTAAAATGCACTTAATCGATCAGAAATTTAATCTGAAATGGCAGTCGTGTTGACTGGCCTCATGTTGATCGGAATTCCAGAACAAGGTACAGGACTTACTCGAAGACCAGCATTCATACAAACAATGCCGTGCCGGCGAAATGAAAAATCTAATGACTCGGATAAACACAAGCCTAAGAAATCTCACAGCCAAGGGGGCGATTACACCCAACGACTGGTTCTCCAAGAAACCAACTGACACCGCCACGGCTCGCTTTTACGGTCTACTGAAGGCACACAAGGCAAATGTCCCACTCAGGCCAATCGTATCCCTTCGTGATACTCCGACGTACGGTTTGGTAAAATGGATGTTCGGTCGTCTTAAGTTTTTGTCAGAAGGCTCACAAACAACAGTATCATCTTCGTATCAATTCTTCGAAAGCAAACTCGCCTACATGAACACAAAGCGGCCACTCGGAGGTTAGACCCTAACTCTCAACTAAAAACACACGTTGGAGAAACGGGGCATACTTCTGACCTCCAGAGGGCTACCATCTTAGGCCGAGGCAACAAAAAACAGAACGGCTAACTCTCGAGACGTGGTTCTTCGATGCCCACTGTATCAACAGTCATCTGGACCTTATCGCAGCTGACAAAGTCCTACGTCATCGCAATCGTAAAGCTCAGGACCAAACAACCACACCGGACTTATTAAGGCCGCAGGGAAATAGCCCAACGCTGAGTCTAGTCGGTGAGGAAGAAGGAGAACCGCCAGATCAACCGCCCGACTACAGTCCAATCAGTTCCCCTCGACGGAGTGGTGACTCACAAACACACAGGCAAAACGCCCGTCAACCATCTCTCGAGAGGCCGAGGCAGCGAGAGGAGGAAAAAATCGATCAGCATGAGACTGACTAACACGACTGCCACTTCAAATAAAATTTATCATCGATTAAGTGCATTTTACGCTTTGACAATGAAAAGCCGACCCAGCTCTTTGAAACGTCAGCACTTAAATAAACCTCTTCCGGAGAGCCTGTCTTCGTCTACAAAATCTTTAAGCATATAGTTGAAATATTCCCGCACGAATGTAAACGAGCAATGGACGTAATGACAAAAATGTGATAATAATTAACTCGGAAATGTTTATTTAATATTGAACGTCTTAATTATCCTTCAATGACATTATTTTGTGCGCAATGTGCCATGACGTGCTAAATGTACTTCATAAAGTTGATAATTTTCATGTTCTTAAACAAGGCACTCCTCGTCAGAAGGCAGTGAACTCCAAATGCTATGACATATACAGCAGAAATAAACCGCATTTAGAACTCGACGGTTGGCAGGAAATGTGCAAAACTTACAGCTTTTCAAAGAAATCCTGAATTATTTGTTCAAACTGTTTTCCCAGGATGGGTATCCTAGATATTTTGTACACCGATGCATGCGACGACAGGAGTTAAAAGAAAAAGAGAAGGAACTATATTGTTCCGATCAGGCGCCCAAACCTAAAAACTGGCGAACACTTCCATGCATTAAGAATGTGTCCGAACTAGTTGAAAGACACCTGAGGAAGCACCAGATCCATGTGGCGGACAAACCGACGACTACACTTCGTAACCAGCTTGTACACCCTAAGGATACGGTTGACTATTTAGATAAGAAGGAAGTCGTCTATAAGATAACATGCAACACCTGTAATGAGGTTTACTGTGGTCAAACCGGGAAATCGGCCTCTACACGAATACACGAACATCAGTTGGCCGTAAAAAGGCGAGACTACTTGTCCCAAGTTGCCATGCATACGTTGAAAACCGGACACAAGTTCGCCTGGGACAGGACCCGCATTGTAGAAGTCTGTTCATCTAAAGAGGGCCGTGAATTTTTAGAGGCAAACCATTCTGATAACGCATGCATCAAGAGACAAGTAGAATTGGGTACGGTGTACAACAGCCTCAAGGAAAAGTCGAAAAGGCATTAGCCAATCAGAACAAGACACCAGCATGAATTACAAGGCAAAATCGATTTTTCGGCAGGTTTAAATGTTGTCTGTTTAGCACACTTATTCCACGTCTGAAGACGACTTGGGCAACCAAGATCGAAAATTTACAATAAACCTTGTTAATCTTTCCCAAAGAGCTTATTTCTTTCGAATTATGCTTTTTGGGATGTCAGTTTTCAAAGAAATACTTGCATATGGATATATAAATACAAACATCACCAAGGCAACCATTTTCTGATTTTATCCACAATATCGTATCAATACTAAAAACAACAAAGTATTGTTGGTTAATAAAACGTGACAGTGACCGAATCGAAACTTGGCGAACACTCCCTAGACAAGAATGGCTTACAGAATTTGCAGTCCCTTGACACCGTTGACTTTTCCAATATCATTAGGATGATTAAAGGAAGTAATTGCCAGCGGTGGGTTCACGCAATGGTCGTGGTGGTCGCTCACTTGCTTGCAAATGAGACTGCGCCTAGCGTCCACTTGCTGACACTCAACTCTCACCTGTGCTTCCACGTAGCTGGACTCTGCTCAGCGGCCACACCCCGGGCAACCGTTTCGACCGGCGGGGTAAACCAGGTGAGGGGGCCCTGTGCGCTGTGCCGTGTACACAGGGTTTGCGGATTCCGCTGGATGGAAGGTCGGATGGAACCTTGCGTCGGCACCGTCGTGACGTGGTTTGTCTCTGCACGCCGCTGGACAGCCGGTGACGCGATTGATCTCAACATCGACATTGCCTTGACGCGCCACCTACGCCGTCGGAGACCGCGGCTTACGGCGAATTCGAGTCACTCTCCACTACAACCCGAAGTCGTGGTCCGATAGTGGAGTTTGGCGGTGCCAAAACAGCACATGGCAGCCCTATTCAGAGATGGCACTGCCAGCCTCCACGAGGGGAAGGGCCTAGAAAAAGTCGCCTAAACATTGCTGGGTACCACGCCGTCTCCAGGCTAGCCAGGGCCGCAGACGTCTAATCATGGTCGAAACAATCAAAATCGAAACAACAACAATACCAATAACAACAACAACCATACTTATTCTCCTCATCCTACCTCTTCTTCCTCTTCCTCTGCCTATTCTTCTCCTACGTCACCTTCTTCTTCATCTCCCTCCCGCGCCCCACTCGCTGTCACCAGACTGGCAGGGTGAGCCCGCTCACTCTGGCAGCCTGGAATGTTCGTTTCCATTTAGACAATCTGAGGAGCAACCGACCGGAACGGAGGACGGCGCTCGTGGCACGAGAACTGGCCCGCTACAAGGTGGACATCGCCGCACTCAGCGAGACCCGTTTCTTCGAACAAGTTCAACTGGAGGAGGTGGGTGCCGGCTGCACCTTCTTCTGGAGCGCTCGACCCAGGGCAGAACGACGGGACGAGGGTGCTGCCTTCGTCATTCGGAACGACATCGTGGGACGACTGCCCTGTTTGCCGCAGGGCATCAACGATCGCCTGATGAGCCTCCGGCTGCCTCTCTGGGGAGGCAAATTCGCCACCATCATCAGCGCCTACGCTCCGACGATGACCAACCCCGACGCCGTCAGAGACAAATTGTACGAAGACATGCATGCCCTCTTGGCGACTGTGTCGAAGGCGGACAAGTTGATTGTCCTTGGTGACTTCAACGCCCGCGTCGGCACAGACCATACTGCCTGGAGAGGAGTGCTGGGTACCCACGGTCTCCGCGGCTCAAACGACAATGGTCTGTTGCGCAGAACACCGCCTCATCCTGACGAAAACCTTTTTATGTCTGCCGGAGCGAGATAAGGCCACCTGGAGGCATCCTCGGTCACGCCAGTGGCACCTGCTGGACTATGTCCTCGTCCGCAGGCGAGATCAGCGGGACGTGCTGGTAGCGAAAGCGATCGCGGGTGCTGACGGGTGGACCGACCATCGCCTCATCATGTCGAAGATGCGTATTCGCCTACAGTCTCGCAGGAGACCACAAGGTAAGCGACCCCCAGGTAAGCTGAATGTTGCCTTGTTGTCTTTGCCCGCACACCATCTTCATTTCAGCAATCAGCTAGCTCAACGGCTAGACAACCTCCCCATCGCCGATGCCGCCGCTGCCGAGAACGCCTCCGTGGAGAACCGCTGGTGTCAACTGCGAGACACGGTCCAGTCGACGGCGCTCGCCGTCCTCGGTCGCGCTCCCCGCCAACACCAGGACTGGTTCGACGACAACGACGCCGCCATCAGAAATCTGCTAGCTGAGAAGAACCGCCTACACAAAGTCTACGTAGATCACCCCACGGATGCCACCAAACCTGCCTTTTACCGCAGCCGCCACCAACTTCAGCAATGACTGTGCTAGATGCAGGACGCCTGGACCGCTCGCAAAGCTGAGGAGATCCAAGAGTACGCGGACCGCAACGAATGGAAGAACTTCCTGTCTGCGATCAAAGCTGTCTACGGTCCGGCGAAGAAGGGCACTGCTCCTCTCCTCAGCGCCGACGGCAACACTCTCCTGACTGAGAAGACGCAAATCCTGCAGCTATGGGCCGAGCATTTCCGAGGCGTCCTCAACCGCCCCTCCGTCATCTCCGACGCCGCCATCGAGCGTTTGCCGCAAGTGGAGACCAGCGTGGACCTCGACCTCCCGCCATCTCTCCTGGATACCATCAGGGCCGTGCAGCAGCTCTCCAGCGGGAAAGCACCCGGAGCGGACGCAATCCCTGTTGAGGTCTACAAGCACGGAGGTCCCCAACTGATGAATCGCCTGACTGCGCTCTTCCAAGAGATGTGGCGTCAAGGTGAAGTCCCGCAAGATTTTAAAGACGCAACCATCGTGCATCTCTACAAGCGCAAAGGGAATCGCCAAGTCTGCGACAATCATAACGGCATCTCCCTGCTGAACATCGCCGGGAAGATGTTCGCCCGCATCTTTCTCAACCGCCTCAATAACCATCTGTAACAGGGCCTTCGCCGGAAAGCCAATGCGGCTTCCGTCGTCATCGTGGGACCACGGATATGATCTTCGCCGCCCGTCAACTTCAGGAGAAGTGTCAGAAGATGCGGACCCACCTGTTCTCTACCTTCGTAGACCTGACGAAGGCCTTCGACACGGTGAATCGGGAAGGACTGTGGAAGATCATGCAGAAATTTGGCTGTCCGGAGCGATTCACTCAGATGGTGCGTCAGCTGCACGACGGTATGATGGCGCGAGTCAAGGACAACGGAGCTGTCTCAGAGGCATTCGCAGTGACCAATGGAGTGAAGCAGGGCTGCGTACTGGCGCCTACCCTCTTCAGTCTTATGTTCTCTGACATGCTGATGGACGCGTACCGCGACGAACGCCCCGGGATCCGCATCGCATACAGGACGGACGGTCACCTCCTGAATCCACTGCGAATGCACTTCCAATCGCGCGTATCCACAACCTACGTTCACGAACTCCTCTTCGTCGACGACTGCGCCCTGAACACCACCTCAGAAGAGGAGATGCAACGGAGCATGGACCTGTTCTCCGGCGGCTGCGAGAACTTCGGTCTGGTCATTAACACGCAGAAGACGGTGGTGATGCACCAAGCGTCACCCAACTCAGTCACAGCCCCCCCCGCGTCGCCGCAAATCAGCGTGAACGGAACCCAACTGCAGGTGGTGGAGAACTTCCCGTACCTGGGCAGTACTCTCTCCCGCAACACCAAGATCGACAACGAAGTCGCCAACAGGATCTCGAAAGCCAGTCAAGCCTTCGGTCGCCTCCAAAACACAGTTTGGAATCGCCACGGTCTTCAGCTGAGCACCAAGCTGAAGATGTACAAGGCCATCATCCTGCCGACACTACTGTATGGAGCGGAGACTTGGACGGTGTACGCGAAGCAGGCACGTCGTCTGAACCACTTCCACCCCAGTTGTCTTCGTCGCATCCTGAGGCTGAACCGCATCGCTGCCGCCAAAGCGAAACGTGAAGCCCGCAAATCACAACCGCCGGTTACACCACACATCCGCACACTCCCTACCTTCCTCCACTATCACCACCACACATCAACACGCACCCAGCTGCCACCTCCCACGCAAGTGGGAAGTGTGCATCTCGACTCGGTCCCCATGCGGCCTCGGCTGCACGGGTGACTTGAGTCCGAGACTATCCGACACGTCAAGCGTCGTGGATAGGAAGGTTGCTGATTGACGTCCGCTCTCGGCTCACGCAGTTCGTCGCGTTGTGTGTGCGTTGTGTGGAGTGGCGGACTGGTGGGATGGGGACGGGCTGAAGCTGCACCTTCCACGGCTCTCTCACGCAAGTGAGAGACACGCCGTCCAACCTCCGTTGTGTGAAATCCTGGTGTTGAGTTTATAGGGGGCCAGGTCGTGCTGTGGCGCGCGCAGTCATGGTCAGTCGACCATGACAGCCACCGCGCCCATTCCCCACTCCAGTCTGCTGACCGGCTCGGACAGCGGCTGGGGTGTGGGGATGGGAAGGGAGAGTGAGGTCGACGACTCAGCGCACTTTCTCCTCACTAAAAACAATCTGACGCGCTTGAAGCCATCACGGTGCGCTAAAAACCGTGGCTTGGAAGGTTGCCAACTAAAGGGATAACTTGGACCTCCTCCTCGACTGGTGGGGGTCTGAGAGTCAGGCTGCAATGGCTCCTTTGTAATGTGGCCTCTATGGAACTCCCACCACAGTGTGGGATCCGAGCCAGGCGTTGGCGGCACGCCTAGGTGCGGCTTTGGCCATGCCAGCCTCCAATCTCGGTTGTGTTGGTTGAAATCCTGGTGATTTGTTGTGTAGGCCAGTGGGTGTGGTGGAACGCCAAGGTGAGGATCTGTCCGAGCCATCCACCTGCGGCCTATCTCGTTTCCGGTCTTCTTGACACTGTCTTGACACCGGGCTCGGGCGAGGGAGGAGGAGAGAGTGTAGGTAGATGCTACGCAGTCTACCGGCACTACAAACCCCTGCGTAAGTCACCGTCCCTGCTCCCATTGCTGCAGCAACTGTGGGGCACACGGTGGACATCATCGAAAACGATGGTCGAACTGTCATACGCGCCTATTGATATAAGGAAATTAATAGGTTGATTTGCTTTTTTAGAGAATGCAGGATATTACCAGATACGCGAACTTACCGTGGCGTCTGTATAGAAGACGCCTGGTAATCCTCTTTCAACCCACTTTTTGAAAACGGAAAATTGTGGCGGACCACGTGCATTATGTTCCTCGCAATAGCCTACGGCGTATGTGTGTCCAGGGCACTAAAAGTAGAGAAACCAAAGCATTCATTTGTCTTAAATGATGTTCGTCTTAGCCTTATATATGCATATCCGAAAGAGGTTGTTTTCTTGTCAGAGTACGCACTGTCGAGCACTTTTTTGGTACGTTTACCTGTCCAGTAAGGCAATAAGCAAGGACTGTTTGGACATGGCGCCAGAAAATGTAATTTTTCGGCGCAACCATTGTCAGGGTTACAATGGAACTAGATGCGGAAAAAGTGTTTCTTGGTTCAAAGGTTGACTAAAGCTAATGCTCGTATTTCTTCTACTGCATAAATTACGCTAAATTTTAGACAGGTAAGATGCTTTGGATAGATTTGCCGGAAAGCTCTGGAGTTACGGCCTAAATGAAAAGTGAGCATTGACATGCCTTTATTCCCAGAATTTTGGCCAAAAAGATTTACGAGCACAAGTGTATTCACTTAGACAAATTTCTATAGTTTTGCATTTGCCAGTTCGTTGTCACAAATCCCAAACGGTCAGCGTGTTTTGACAGCAAATTGTTTCTGCACCGGGGATAAATTGTGCCGTGTTGCAAAAAAATGCCGTAAATCAGCTATTAGGTAGTTTATCAGATGTTCTTTTATATACTGTTGTGAGGCATTGCGTTTTAGTGGTCCGCCGTGCACCCGGCGTAATAAGAAGTTTTTTTGCATGCGCTGTCTCAAGAATGAAATGAAAACTCTGTTTTTTTCAAGCACCGATTATAGCTACTGACTTTTATTTTCTGCTAGAGTTCTACAATGCATTTCTTGTCTACGCTCACGTGAGAGCGTTCCGGATGATACCATCTTCACATAAACAGGGATTAACAGACAAAATTACTTTAACTGTACCTTCTCTCCTTCTTCTTTATGCATGCTAGTATGGATAACTTAAACGTAAATTTTATCACTGTCATAAGGAATCTCATCTTCCTCTAAACGACTTTACCCTACTACCATGAGTCTTTCAAAAAGTGAATATGGCATCAACAGAGAAACACATTGAACAGGTCCGTGGATCAACAGCTGCCGAATGGGATGCTATCTTACCTCTACTTCTTAAACCTTATTTTTATCAGATAGCCCCTTATTGACGGAACTTTCATGGAGTCCAATATGCCTGACACCTGGGGTACAGCAATACTCACTCTTATTCTAAAAGCCGCTAAGTTTACTATAAAGTATATTCATTCTATTGCCCGCTCTTTAACACAGATAACGCTTGCTGAAAGAGTTAAATTGCATATTATGAAGCCATTCTCCTCTCCTTTATCCGACCCTTTTCAATTTACATACAAAACTTAATGTAGCACTTTGGATGTTGTTGCTGTTGTGGTTAACTTTGCCCTAAGAAAATAAGATAACGTGTGCCGTGAGCATGCATGTGTCGCGTCCAGTGCCGTCCCGCGTCCGATTCCCCCTACAAAAACATCCGTGTACACCTCTGCAGACTCGTTTGTCCGTCAGTAAATCTATTAGTTTACTTGCCGCAAACATATTATCCAATCTGGCACACGAAAGTCTGCGATCCCTCCCACCGACTGTGGAATTCTCCAAAGTTTCAGTTGATACCCCCACGCCTTCTCCTGCCATACTGATGATCTACGATCACCACATGGCTGTCTATTGGTCAGTTATGCTAGTGATGTGTTTGATGAACATCTACTCAAATATCGGACATATATGCAGCGTCATTTGGATCGCCTTGATTATTTTCCGCTATAATCGCAGGAAAATGGTCTCATTATAAACCATCCTAAACTAGTTCAACGCATTTACCGACTGCCGCCTTAATCTGTTTCTGAATCGTTGGACATCTGCGTATCCTCTCTCAGGTACTTTGAATTTACTTTGTAATAAAATCCTTCATTTCCTCTGCATTTTCATTAAAAGTCGTAAACTTCTATATTACATTCGTCATCTACGTTCATACCACACGTCCTACTCATTAATTCGGCGTGTTATAGATGCCTGCATACTTTATCTCGTTTTTATTTTACCCTGCTACTTCTTCTGTGTTAATCGAAAATGATCTGTTTTTTATAATGCGAGTCCTCCTTCTTTTGCCGGTGACACTGCCCATCTCCTGTATGCTGAACGAATCTCCG